TTAGGACACTCTGATATGGAATGCTCCACACTCTCGCAAATTGAGCAACACTCCTCAGTCTTTGAAATATTGGGCACCTTATGTCTCCTATTTACCTCTAGGCTTTCCACCTTCTGAGACAACTTGGTGATTATAGAAAGAAAATCTTCCCGGTCCCTCAATTCATAAATCCCTCGCCCATGTGATTGATTACTACCCAAAAAAGACCTCGGTACATTAGTGGGATCTGTAATATCCCAAGATTGTGCATTTTGTGCCAATGTACTAAAGTATTTTAGGGCATCATCGGGGTCCATGTTTAAGAACTCTCCATTGCACATCATGCCAATGAATTGTCGATGGCTCGGTGTAATCCCTTCATAGAAGAAACTCAACAATTGCCACAATTCAAAACTATAACATGGAATGGATTGTAGCAATTCCTTGTAGCGATCCCAAAAAGTTTTGAATTTGTTTTTTAAGAGTGGTGATTTTAGGCACTGGAAAAAATTTCTTTAAAAACTCGGAGAGCATTTGTGCCCAAGAGGTTATGGATTAAGGCCTCAAGGAATTCAACCACAATTTGGATTTGTCCTTAAGGGAAAAGAGAAATAATTTCAAACAAGCTATGACTTCCAAAGCATGATTAATGTTGAAGGTTGCAGTTGTATTATCGAATTCCTTAATATGCAAATTAAGATTCTCCCTTTTAATTCCATGGAATGTCGAAAGTAGTTGCAACATTCCTAACTTAACTACGAAAGCATGAGCTGGGACCAGTAAGAAAATGCTTGAGGGAGTGGTGCTACGAGTCGGTTGAAGGTAATCCCTCATTCACCTTGACGGAGGATCAATTTGGATGTTATTCCCTTCATTCCTAGGAGGGAAGTGCATTCTAGGGTTTGGAATTCTAGGGTCTTGCCCTCCACCTCCCCTTGGGACATTCACAATGGCACCTAACTCCTCAAAGTTGTCACCGACATTCTCGGGTAGGTCTTGGTCAACATTCATGTTGGGGCCTAATGGTTGTCTAACCAAACAATTTTGGTAATCCCATTCCCACATACAAAACACTATCTACAAATGAAAATACAAGTAAAAAAAATTATATATAAAAGGAGCAACGTACCTCAACCCATGATAAAAATCACGTGACTTAACTTTGTTGTCCAAAAATCACCTTCTAAATTCAACACATTACCTTCCCCAACAACGGTGCCAAAAATGCTTGAAATTTCCCATCGTATACCCAAATCTCTGAACACTCACCCTAAATGTTTATATGGCTTATGAGTGTAAGGAAGTGTCACTCCCCGGAGGGTTCATGCAAAAAATGGGGAAAATGTGTGTGCATGTGTGTACAAAAGTGCTCTCCAAGTGTAGAGAGACTTTTGAGGATCGGGTTTTACTTGGAATTAGTATTCCAAGGTTGTCTCCTCAGGGAAGGAAGCGAATTTTGTTGAAGATGATTTTGTGAAAAAGGAAAAGTGTAAAATCTTGAGTTTGTGTTTTGGTGAGTTGTGTTTTTGATTAAAATGAAATGAAAACAAGTGTTGGCTAATTCGAAGATGTCATTCCAATGAGAATGTCAAATCAACTCAGGACCTTCCTCCAATGATGCCTAGATGTTTGATTGATTCGTAGAAAGCGAGGGACTATAATGGAGGTGAAGATTAAAGCATACCCCGTGACAAGCTTATCAAGAACTCACAACCACATTCACACTCAACCTACTTAAACCAAATCATCGTACACTATAAGGAGGAATGAAAAAGAGTTGATTTAGCATAGCCCAGAGGAATTTTTCCTTGGATTAGCCAACTTGAGCATTAGCTACTCATATTTACTACAAGAACATAGATGAAATAAACAGACATTGTAAATGAAGATTGGAACTTGGATTAATGCAAGAAAACTTAACTATAAAAAAATGCATTTAATACCCATTTTAAAAGCTTAAAAAGAGGGAAAATTCACACAACGATGGTAAAATCTAAAAGGTATAACTAAACTTGCAATCCACTTGAAAATAAATGACATTCAAGACAATAAATGAAGCTCACAAGAGTATTCCAGATGATTACAAGTGAAAATGGGTAAAAGAAATGCAAAATCTAACTTCACTTACTAAAAACTATGTCTTCCTCCAAGAGCTTCTCTCTCTATATTTCTATGGTGCTGAATATTGTCCAAAGATGCCTATAATTTCATCCATGGAGCTCCCTCTAGGTGTGTGATAGGCTTCCCATCCATAGGAGGCTGACTTGATGAACTAGGCAGGCTATGACATGCCTAGCCTGCATCTTCCCTGGCTTGTCTCTTCTCTCTCCTCCTCGTTAATTCTTGAGCCTCCAAAGTCCAAGCATGGGTGTGGGGAGGCATGTAGATGTGTAATGGATATCAAGGGACAAGTGGGAGAAGTGTAGGTGAGATCCCCAAACGGCAGAGCTTTAATTGCAGGCCATCTGGGCATTCTGGACAAAACCTTCCAGAAGGTCGATGCAAACCTTTTGGAAGGTTCATTCTAGTAGACAATACCTTTCAGAAGGTTTTCATCCAATTTGCCTTTTTCTTGGTTTCTTCACCTTCCAATCCTTCCTTTAAGCTATCCCTTTATCTTCATTGACTTCAAACACTTCAATGGCGGCTTCACTCAAACCATTTTCAATTCTTCACCTACATTCACATAAGATTTCATTAAAATGTAGATTAACCGCATTTATCCCCAATTTCACAACAAATGAAAGTATAAAAAAGGGAATAACAACATACAATATGTGCAACATTTTGTGCTATCGGAGCAGGGGTACTTGTGGACCTTATCAAGATTGAGGCAATGAAAAAATGCGAACGAATTTAGAATGTGATAGAGAACCAGAGTTTCTTGGGTTAGTCAAGTTAATATTGAAGGGTTGTGAAAGAGTTTTCTCAATTAGAAATGCCGATGACTCATCTCAGGAAAAATGGGAGAAGGTTTTGTGGGATAAATATTGTGAACAAGCTTTCACCATCTTAAAAGATAAGTTGACCATGACACTAGTACTCATTTTTTCGAGTAGTGGTGATTGCTACGATGTGTACATAGATGCCTCTTTATGGGTTTTGGGTTGTGTATTGATGTAGAATAGGAAAATAGTGGCTTATAACAAATTATAAGCAAAATTATCCAAATCAATTGAAGATTCATAAGCAAAATTATCCTAATCATGACTTAGATCTTGCAGCTATAGTGTTTGCTCTCAATTTGTGGAGGTGTTATTTGTATGGAGAGAAATTTCAGGTTTACTCCTATCATAAGAGCCTAAAATACATCTTTAATCAGAAATATCTCCATCTTTAACAAATATGTTAGATCAAGTATTCAACTTTGAATTATAATTTGGGAGAGGCCAATGTGGTAGTTGATGCTCTCAATAGAAATTCTAGGAATTTAGTGAATTCTCTGGCACTGTATGGGTGGAAGATGATTGAGGTTTTAGAGGATTTTGATCTATTGGTTGATAACCAAGAAGACTAATCACGTTTATTTAATCTTGTGGCTCAAACTGTTCTTCCAAAAGAGGTTATAGATTTACAATGGTTGAATCATCAATTAGAGGTGATTTAGGGTCGATTGGAGAAAACTAAGACTATTGAAAGTTGGTCATTGCATGATGAAGAGTTATGATTTCGGGGAGATTATGTATACAAGATGATGCTTAACTAAAATAAGAGATTTTAGAGGATGGCCATCACTCTAAATTTATGATACATCAGGTAGTACCAAAATGTATAGAGATATGAAACACCATTATTGGTTGAAGGGAATGAAGAAAGATATAGTTACGTTTGTAGCTAAGTGTGTAGTTTTTTGGCTCTTTTTCCTCTCATGAGTTCTTCACCAACTTCTTCCTTAATACTGCCAAAGCTTCCAGATTTATTACCTGCAAATCAGTCACAACCTCAACAAACCTTTGCATCACTCTTTAAACAACCTGATAATCCTTTTCCTACGTAAGAATCTATCCCCAAGATAAAAAAACCAGTTGTATTTTATGAGGGAGAACCGACCTTCTACTTCACCAATGAAGAAGTTAAGTTGTCTTGCTCATCTTTGTAGTATGCATTGATAGGTAAATGTGCCTATGGACGTCCAAGTTTGGGAGTGATAAGAGAAGTTATTCGTTCAAAATGGGATTTGAAAGGAGAGTTTGAGATAGGGTCAATGGATCCTAGACATATTTTGATAATGTTTGAAAAGCATGAAGACTATGTAAAAAATTGGTTGAAATATGCTACCATAATTGAAGACTACATGTTCAAAAATTTCAAATGGTTCTCTACATTTGTTACTGGCATAGAGCCTTCCATTGTGCCCATGTGGATATCTTTACCAAGGTTACCATTGAATTTTTTCAAAAAGTGATATTTGGAGTTGCTGGTAAAGACTATTGGTAATGTTTTAGCCTGTGATCAATCCACATTATTATTGGCTAGACCAGGAGTAGCTATATTCTGCTGAAGTAAATCTGTTGGCAAAAAATCCATCCAGAATTTGGTTGGAAAGATGAAGATGCAAGATGGCAATGAATTGTATATGAAAAAGCTAAGAAATATTGCAGGAAAGGAAACTGTCAACGTCAAAGAACTTGCAAGGAAAGGATCCAGTTGATACTAAAGATTCGCTAGGAAAAAATCCAGCAGAACCCGCAAACTTACAAAGTAAGAATCAATCAAATAGCAAAAGTTTAGAAGTAGTAAAAGGAAAGAATACTTAGCAAACAGATAACTCCAAGGAGCAAAACAAAGAAAGTATAACTCACAAGCAATCAAGACCGGCATTCAAGGCTCATAAGCATAAGGCAATTTGGAAATAGAATAATAATGGGTATACTATAGTTGGTAACCCCGATTCCAAAATAGCAACCCCGGATGTGCAAAATCAAGAAGAACAGGATATCCAAATTCTCAACGTGGAAAATTATGTAAAGGATTTATGATCCATGGAAAAGGGTGATTACTCAGGCAAAGACTATTTACAGGTTTTGGAGACTTCAGGTGAGGTTATAGCCCAAGGAGAACTGGCCCCTTCTCTTGTTGTTGAATGTAGCATTCAACATTTGGTAAATGATGCCGAGGTAGTAAATGCAAATGAAGAGCCTGCTGCTCTAGAAACCATGCTTCCAATGGATGCAGAGAATGTTAATGCAAATAAGTATGAAGCTATACTAAATGATGGAGCTATTCAAGCTACTGTTCATGTAGCAAAAAAGTAGGCTACAATTTTAGCATCAATGTAACAAGAGTCTAACAAGGATCCTATTCCTTCTTCTCCAAACCACATCGGTTCTTTAATTCTTGAAGCTAAAAAGGTGCCACCAAACACGACTACAAGAATAGTCTGTATCAATTTGATTAATTTGAATCATGAGGATGGTGAGATTTCCAATTCAAATGATGATCCTGGGTATGGTATTGAATATTATTTGGAAGAGGTTCCCATTGTTTTTGGTCCATGTGTTCTAAATAAGCATGATCATGATTCTTTGTACAAGCCAATGCTTGTTACCAAGAAGATGGTGGACGCAGTTCACCAGCGTGTCCACAGTCAAGAGGAGTTATCCCAAAAATGTACAGGAAAGAGATTCATCAAGCATTGAAATGAAATGACACTTTCTCTAATGATGACTATGCCAAAGAACCTGTTGTTCATAAAAACACAAGAGGCTTTTTCTCTGATGGAGAGGAGGATGTTTTAGAGCCAATTATGTATTATGAATCTTTTATGGCTATTTCTAATGAACTACTTAGAAACCTCAATAATGCTGAGAAGAAAAGGAAACTAAAAGAGGACGAGCTGGGCATTGGCTTTGAACAACTTTTCATCTAGTGAAGATTCTTCAAGGATGACTAGGTCCAAATCCAAATCCATACTAGCATTCAAAATCCCAAAGTAGAATAATAAATATGGTTTTAGGCATTAATGGTTTCAGGTTTAAGTCTATTCTCTGTTGGAGTTTCTCTACTTTGACTAGAGTGGGCTACTTTGTAGTTTTTCTTCTGTTGCAACTGGAGTGCTACTATTCTTCAAAAACTGCAATCAAGGAGTTTAATCATTCAGGGATTTTTTAGCAGAATGGGCTGCATCATGATCTGCTATTGCCTTTTTCATAAATTCAATGAAATATCACATGCTTGTGATAGACTCCAACATTAGGAAGATAAGTGGTGGGCTAGTAAATTAGACTTTTTGGTCTTGGAAGGAAAGTCATAAAGCAAAATTCTTTGTCAAGTGACCTACCATGTGGAAGTAATTTCTAAAGGAGGCATGGGTATCAAGAATATGATTAAAAAAGTAATTGCATTTAACGTAAACTTTTAAATTTCTTTTATTATGTAAGGGGCACAATTTATGTCCTTCCCTAATTTCTTTATAATTTTGTTATTAATAAAAAACAAATAAGTGTGTAGTTTTCAAACAAGTGAAGATTAAACATCAGAAATTGGGCAGACCATTGTAATCTTTGCCTATTCCAGAGTCAAAGGGGGGCCACATTACTATTGACTGTGTTAGGGCTAACAAGGATTTGGGTGATTATGGATACACTCACAAAGATGGCTCGTTTCTTACCTATAAAGACAATAGCTACATTGATGACTCTAAGTAAATTGTATATTCTTGGGTTAGTGAAGCTTTATGGGTTGCCTCTATCTATTGTGTCAGATCGTGATAGTAGGTTTTTTGGAAAAGTTTTGCTGAGCTTGCAGAAGGCATTGGGAACACAGTTGTGCTTCAGGACCTCCTTTCATCATCAAACGGATGGTCAATCAAAGAGAGTAACTCAAATTGTGGAAGATATGCTAAGGGCATGTGTTTTGGACTTCAAGTGTAGTTAGAGTGAACATTTACCCTTGGTTGAATTTTCATACAAACAACAGCTACTAAACTAGCAATGGAATGATGCCTTGTGAAGCAATGTGTAGGAGACTATGTAGACCATTGATGTGTTAGGCAGAAGTTGTAGAGAGTAGCTATTTAAGACTAGATATTGTTCGACAGTCTGATAAGAATATTGCATATTTAACGACCTCATTACATGCATTTTAACTTAACTTTGCATTTAATTACTTAGAGTTAGTCGAAGTTGTGAATAATGTGAAAATTTGAATGTTGTAGGTCATCATAGCGTAAATGACGACTTTTAGAACCCTGCAACTAAATGTGGATGAGTGGTGAAGAGATAGATACATTACATGAGGATTGGGAGGCTTGGAAGGTAAAGAAATCAAGAAAAAAAATGCATTTGGAAGAAAACCTTCAAGAAGGCTTGCATCGACCTTCCAGAAGGTTTAGCCCACTGTTTTCCCCAATTTTGACAAAGTACCTTTGTTTTTCCCTTTTTTGACACAGTACCTCTGTTTCTACCATTTTTGACGATGATCATCTTCGAATCTGAAAATGTTAAAAACATAACAGTTGTAGATCTGAATGTCATCTATATTGTGTCAAAATTTTAGCTCAATAATACAATTGGATCAAAAATTATGACAATTTTATGAAACCTGGTCCTAAGATTGCACTTTTCGGAAGGTTTGCATCGACTTTCAAGAAGGTTTTGCCTAGAATGCCCAGAAAGCCTGCAACTCGTGCTCCACTTTTTTTAGGGTCCCACCTATGATTCTCCCACTTGTCCCTTGACATCCCTTACACATCTACATGCCTTCCATCACCCATGCTAGGATTTTGGAGGCAATGACATTTATGAGGAGGAGAGAGAAGAGCCAAGGAAAGGGAGATGTTGGCTAGGCTTGTCCTAGGCTGCCCAACCATCAAGTCAGCCTCCTATGTATGGGAGGCCTGCACACTAGCTATAGAGAGCCTCATGGACGAAAATGCAAGAGCCTTACACCATATATTCAGCATTCACACAAGCTTTGAAAAAAGAAAGAGGCTACCTAAGCCTAGGAGTAGTTTTTACTAATAGATGTGATATTTTTGCATTTCCTTTACCCATTTTCACTTGTAATCTTCTTGAATACTCTTGTAAGCTTCATTTAGTGTCTTTAATGTTATTTATTACAAGTGCATTGCAAGTTTAGTTATACATTTTGGATTTCACCATTGTTGTACTAAGTTTTCTTCATTTCAAGGTTTTAAAATGGGTATTGAATGTTTTTTTTCATAGTTTAAGTTTTCTTGCATTAATTTAAGTTCCAATCTTCATTTCTTCATTATGTCTCTTTACATTATGCATGTCCTTCCTTTATTATGAGTAGCTAAGTTTTATGCTGGCTAATCCAAAGGAAAATTCCTATTGGGTGTGCTAAATCAACTCTTTTCCATTCCTCCTCGTAGTGTATGATGATTTAGTTTGACTAGGTTGAGTGTGGATGTGGTTGTGAGTTCTTGATACATCGTAGACTTCTCACGGAGTATGCTTGAATCCTCACTTCCATTTTAGTTCCTCGCTTCCTACGAATCAATTAAACATCTAGGCACCATTGGAGGAAGGTCTTGAATTTATTTGGCATTTCCATTGGAATGACCTCTTTGGATTAGCCAACATTGCTTTCTTGCACTTTTCTATAAAAACAATCACTCACCAAAACACCAACTACAAGATTTTACACTTTTCACTTTTCACAAAATCACCTTTACCACACTTGACCTTTCCTTCCCTGAGGAGATGACATTGGAATACCCATTCCAAGTAAAACACGACTTTGCAAGGTTGTCTCTATGTTTGGGGAGTAATTTTGCACACACACACACGTTTGTCCCCTTTTCCTGCATCATTCCGAGGGAGAGTGGCACTCCCCTACACACAAAAGCCATATACACATTTGGGGTGATGTTCAAAAATTAGGGTCGATGAAATAACTCAAGCAGAGTCTCCCCAAAAAATTCAGTTAATTTGAGAAAGACTACAAACGTCTCAGAGTAGATAGAATATCTATGCTAATAAGAGAAATTAATCTTTGGAATTTCAGTGGGGAGACTATGTGTTTCTCAAGGTGCCACCTAAGAATGGATTGTCTAGATTTAGTAAAAAGGGAAAGTTAACCCCAGGGTATATAGGGCCATTTGAGGTGATTAGAGCGGTGGAAAAGGTATCCTATAAGCTCAAACTACCGACTCAATTATTAGGGGTACATGATGTGTTTCACGTATCCATGCTAAGGAAATGTGAAGTCGATACATCGCATATGGTATACTTGGAAGGAATTGAAATTAAGGATTGAGTAACCTATGAAGAGAAACTAGTGACGATACAAGACACCAAGGAGAAGGTGTTTTGTAGTAAAGTTATTTTACCATTGAAAGTACCGTGGCAACACCATGGAGTGGAGTAAGCTACATGAAAACAAGATTTAGAGATGCGAGAGAAGTACCCACATCTATTCTATACTTGAGNCATTAATTTAAGTTCCAATCTTCATTTCTTCATTATGTCTCTTTACATTATGCATGTCCTTCCTTTATTATGAGTAGCTAAGTTTTATGCTGGCTAATCCAAAGGAAAATTCCTATTGGGTGTGCTAAATCAACTCTTTTCCATTCCTCCTCGTAGTGTATGATGATTTAGTTTGACTAGGTTGAGTGTGGATGTGGTTGTGAGTTCTTGATACATCGTAGACTTCTCACGGAGTATGCTTGAATCCTCACTTCCATTTTAGTTCCTCGCTTCCTACGAATCAATTAAACATCTAGGCACCATTGGAGGAAGGTCTTGAATTTATTTGGCATTTCCATTGGAATGACCTCTTTGGATTAGCCAACATTGCTTTCTTGCACTTTTCTATAAAAACAATCACTCACCAAAACACCAACTACAAGATTTTACACTTTTCACTTTTCACAAAATCACCTTTACCACACTTGACCTTTCCTTCCCTGAGGAGATGACATTGGAATACCCATTCCAAGTAAAACACGACTTTGCAAGGTTGTCTCTATGTTTGGGGAGTAATTTTGCACACACACACACGTTTGTCCCCTTTTCCTGCATCATTCCGAGGGAGAGTGGCACTCCCCTACACACAAAAGCCATATACACATTTGGGGTGATGTTCAAAAATTAGGGTCGATGAAATAACTCAAGCAGAGTCTCCCCAAAAAATTCAGTTAATTTGAGAAAGACTACAAACGTCTCAGAGTAGATAGAATATCTATGCTAATAAGAGAAATTAATCTTTGGAATTTCAGTGGGGAGACTATGTGTTTCTCAAGGTGCCACCTAAGAATGGATTGTCTAGATTTAGTAAAAAGGGAAAG